GAGGCACTCGCTTGGCCACGCCCACTCCCGTTCATTTAAAGGGCCAGTAGCACCCGTTAGCCCGGACCGTTCTCTTCGCCACGCGAGACGTCGGTTTTTGCAGCTTTTTAATTGCGGCATGAAGGCTGTGGAAGTAATTCCATATCTCTTTGTGGAAGTGGATCTGCCTGAACACTATGGTAAGAGGAAAAGCTCATGGTGGAGGGACACCTTCCAATATCCCAAGTGGTTCCAAGCCCCATCCAGCCTGGCCTCGGACAATCAGAGGGATGGGGCAGCCACAGCTTCTCTGGGGACCCTGTGCCGGGGCCTCCCCTCTCTCACAGGCAGGAATTTCTTCCCAATATCCCATCTAACCTTGCCCTCATTAGTGGGAAGCCATTGTCCCCAGTCCCACCACTCCCAGAGCCTCCTCTGGGAGCACAGGGATGCTCAGGGGATGCAGCAGCTCCTCTCTGGACACAGGCTGAGAGAGCTGGGGGTGTCCAGCTTGGAGAAGAGAAGGAGGAGGAGACCTTGGAGCCCCTTCCAGTGCCTCCAGGAGAGCTGCAGAGGAACTTGGGACATGGGATGGAGTGGTGGGATGGCGTTCAGGAGCCAGGACAGAGCAGGCACAGTGCACGGGATGCACAGGGCTTGATATCCATCCCCCTCAGCCTGGCTCCAAGCAGCACAGGGGGATCCCAGCACCTGCAGTGTCCATGCATGAGATGAGTTTGTACCAGCCTCAGACCTGGCACAGGGAGGGTGTGCACTTGCCAGCGGGATCCCCTGGGCCAGTTTGGGACAGTCAGCCCAGGGTCACCCGGCCAAGCAGTTTCCTGCAGGAGGTTTGAACATAAAGCCATGGCCATGGCCCAAACCAAGGTTACAGTCCTGGAGCAGGTCCTGCCCTCCCTGCTGGATGCCAGCCAAAAAAGCCTCTGCTCTGCGGTGCCCCAGGGGATGGTCCAGCCCTGCTGCCTTGAAGGTGATGACAAGTTCAGGAAAATCCAGCCTTGAAGGCTTTTTAAGGAAGGAGAGGGCGAGTGCAGTGCACGATGACCCACGGGAAAGCCATGTGCAGCCCAGGAGTCTCCGGCCAGTGTGGGGCCAAGGAGGGAAGCACCACACCCTGGGCAGCGAGGCACAAGCCCCGAAGGGAGCTGGGGTCACCTTCCTGCAGGTGCCTCCCTGAGCAGGCAGGGCTGGGGCCAGGGTGGCACATCTGTGTCTGTCTGTCCCCGCCTAGGCTCTGTCCTGCTGTCTGGCTGCCGCCAGCCCTGTCCCTGTGGCTCTGAGGCAGCGGGCGCCTGGATCCCCAGGGAGCGCACGCCAGTGACGGAGTCAGGATGCTTTCAGCATTTATGGTAATGTTTGGATTTCTCATTGCTTTCCCAAACAGGAGAAGGGAAAAGAGAGCCGAGCCAAGGGCTGGGCGTGCTCCGCTCATTCCCTGCCTCCGGCTCTGCACCTGCCTCACCCTCCCTGCTCCTGGTGCCTGCCCATCCCCTGCCGTGCCCGGGGCACCCTGGTGGGCTCCCCACTGCCCACCAGGGGGGCGGCGGCTGCAGCGTTCAGAGGTCGTGGCTCCACAGCAGGGCTTCTCCGTGCTC